CAACAACAACAACAACAACAACAACAACAACAACAACTTTATTCACCCTTATTCTTGAGAAGATTAAATTAACATCAAATAAAAAAATTAAAACTAAGAGGGTGTTGGCTTCCTAAAATAACTAGAAGGTTAACAAGGCTAGGAAGCCAAATTACATAGAATGAATTACAATATTAGGGTCAGGACACACACACAACTGTACACACACACACACACACACACACACACACAATTGAACTATAAATAATTATTACATATGTATATATTAGAAATGAAATCCTGAACAATTATGATAAAATAAAAAAGCAGAGCAACAAATAAATCACAGGAATAGCTAGGAAAAAACTAGCTAGAGGGACTGTGTGCAGACTGGTTGATATGAAACAGGTTGAAAGAAGTTTGTCACTTATCTTAACTAACTGATTGAAAAATGAGTTTGAGCCGAGATTTACAGATCTTTATAAAAAATAAATTTAATGATAAAACTTGGAGTCCGTTTGAGCTCCTAATATTTTTCTCTCCTAGTCACGGTATTAAATGTGCTATGGTCCATAATCAGGTGCTTAATAGTATTCCACAATATTTCTTTCGAGATAGAATGAATATATGAAGTTCATATATTCGTACGTAAAATTTATATTTCTTTCATTTGCGCGAAAAATAAAAGAGCAAAGTATGCCTGAGCAAACAATTGTGAGTTCATCACGAGGAGCCAAGTTGTCCCATCAACTTTGTCTACCAGAAAATTAAAGGTTTTTTGAAAATTGAACTACTAAAACATAAACGTTCGTAGTACGGAAGAGAGATAAAAATATATATATATATAAATTACAAGTTGATCTGCAAAACTGCTTTCAGAGTGCTCAATAGTGAACTAGAGCGTGTTATAATTGAGAACGGAGTGGTCAACTGAAGATTTGGCTTGGCATTTATTACTATTTAGTTTCGTACTACACTGCTTGTGTGGCAATCGTCGGATAAAATCAAGATTTATTTCTTGTATTATGGTTAACATCTACAGTTCGGTCCAATAAAACTAAGGTAGAAGGATGAAGCAGTGATGTTTTTACAGAAATATTATGTTTTCAAAGACCTCGGGGCATCAGAGAGAACGATGTAAGCGGATTCTATTTACAACCACTTATAGAAGAAACTTACCGCCATATTTGTTTCGGCCGAAAAGAAAAAGTTTAGGTCTGGGGAGAGTGAAATTAAAAGGCGAGGGACTGGCGGGAGCACTAAACGCCCGCTGGAAGTTTACATTGCAAACAAGATGGCGGACGATCGAGGTCCTCGACGCCGCAAAAGGACTTTTTCGACAACCTCTACAATCTCCACCGACGATTATCAAGATGCCAGTGAGCAAATCGTGGAAGATATTAGCCTAGAGTTTTTCTACAAGCCACGGTCCATCACTGCTTTAGCGTGCCTGTTTGTTTACCTTGTATATTCAGCGTTCACGAGGTGAGAATTTTATAGATTGAGGTTGTTTTGTCATTATCTTTCTTTACAATATACACTTTGATCTTAAGGATTTTGAATTAAAAAATAAAGTATAATTTTTTATCATAATTCTATTATGTTTAGCTTTAAAAATAAATCAACTGGGAATCAATTTCAAGTCATGGTTGATTGATTCAATATTTCACAATGCTATTGAGGTCCTACCCTCATTTATATGCATTCCAATTAGACTCCGTAGGGTTCAGTCTCGTTTTAATGAATATATCCTCAAAACAGAATCCGGATGTTTCTACGTTCATTTCGTTTTATTTGGTAGATCATAATAATTTAACAGGTGGAAATTGCCGGAAGGTTTTCTAAGTATATTTACCCGTGATTAAAAAAAAAAAATCGCATATACCTATGGTAATAGAGATAATCTGCACATGTAAAGTTAAGCATTGAACAACTCCACTTTGGAAGACATTTTGAATCAACTTAGGCAGTTTAAGGGAACAAATTTCTCTGTGACTTTGGCACTTGACACCTGTGATTCTGTTATATCCTGACTGGTACTGTTCTCTTTTTATTCTTTATGCTTCGTTTCTTTCTGTTGATGAGTGGTCCTTATCTGTCAAAATGAATCTTTTACAAAATTTTAACACATGTTTCTGTTGCTTGTCTTTGGCAAAAAATTTAAATTTCTTGGTCATTTAAGCAAAATTCATAATTACTGATCAAGTAGTAATAATGATGGTTGATAGGAACTGTCTCATTTTTTAAAATAAATATTATGATCCAGTTCCTCCAATGCAAAGATATTACAGCCCTCTAAGGTGTGCATCACTCCCATTGTATGGCTTTGTACAGTGGAATCCCGATTTCTTGAACGCTCGGTTTCTCAAATTTAGCGATATCTTGAACCAAACCTTGTTTCCCTTGGATTTTCTTCACTTGTAATTTCACCCCCAATTTCTCAAACCAATTTGCATTTCCCCTGGAGGTTTGAGAAATCGGGATTCCACTGTAGTTCAGTTGGTAGCAGTGCCCAACTTGTATCTGATATGGTTCAAGTCTACATTTTTTTCAGGCTTCTTTTCTGCGATTGCTTAAGTTCTGGCTCACCTGCAAGGATCAAGGCTTAACTTGACAATGAGTGTTATCGTATAATATTTTTTGAGTACTCAACGAACAAAGTAAATAAAATATTTTCCTTACCCCAATGATGTATTTCTGTATTATGAGATAGAAATGAACACAGCTTTTTGACTTTTTTGATTTAAAGAAACCCAGATGCCACTCGTGAAGAGAATATCTGGAGTGGAATCGTGTCCCTTGCTGTTGTTTTTCTTGTTCTCAGCCTCCTTGTCATGCCAAATGGTAAGAATTAGAATCTAGATAAATGGTTCATTGGCATCTAATTTCTCCTTGTAATATCATCCTTGAATAAATGTAAAGGTCATGAGAAAATGGAAATGATCACCAATTTAAGAAGCTCCAGATTCTCAGACAAATTATGCCTACCATTACCATACAACATGTAGAGAGAACAGAGTGGTTTTTTTTTTTCTAATGTTTTTTCTAATCCATTTTCACTGCATTACCGTAGTAGGGTAGGACTAGAACGGAACATATACGATCCATCCGAGTAGTCCACCCATTAGATCCCACCCATCCCACCCCACCCCAGGGGAGGACTTTCATCACACAGTAATCTCGTGCATGGGAAATCAACATCTCCTGCCCCTAACCCTGCAGGAGATGGGACCTCCATTTATTTGTCCCTCTCCGAGAAGACTAGAATATCTAACCATTTCTTGATGTTATAGAAAGGTAGTATATTCTTTTCAATTATTTTAAGTCAAGACCTTGAGTATTGGTCTGGCTGGGGCTTGAACCCTCGACCTCCTGCACAACAGTCCAGCACTCTATCCATTGAGCTAACCGGGAGGCTGTTAGGTGGAGAATGTTAATACCAGTATTGATGTTAGGGTTTAGAGGGTTTTTCAACAAAAATTTCCTGTTCTAGAGCTTAGGTGTCTTTGGCAAACTGGTATAATTTTACTTTTAAAAAAAGTTTCCAAGACCTGCATACTTCTGATCCTCTTGTGATTTTTGTAAGAGCTTAATTTTGAAGGGAATTCCTGTAGAGGAAATTTTGTATCACCAAGAAAAATTGCACCTGAAAATTAAAGTTTTGTATTTTCTTTATGAAGCCCTCTAAAGCAATGGTTTTGAAATTCATCTGCGTTTATGTTTGTTCGTCAATTTTTTTTAGGTCCATTTATCAGACCTCATCCTGCTCTTTGGAGATTGATATTTGGTAAGAGGATTGTAAAAATATAATTCTAACATACTGTCAATGCTGAATAATTGAGGAGGCTTTTTCACTCCAGTATTTGGTTTTAAATTCTTCTTGATGATATTTTGTGTAATCAATGTCCTCACCTGTTTGTTTTTCACCAGGTGCCAGTGTTCTGTACATGAGTTTTCTTGCATTTGCTTTGTTCCAAACTTCTGATGACTTCAGAAATATTCTGTTCTTCTTTGACCCTGGATTACGATCAGAAGGACCGGATACAAAGGTTACAGAGATAAGATTCTATTAATATAATTTTTTTCATGTAATTAGATTCCTGGGTTTAGGAACTCATAACTAGTGGTTTTACGAGAATTTTCAATTGAATCTTAAGAGTCATGTAAGATTGCTTTGATTTTGCTTTACTTCAATCTGCACTTGGAATTGGAAAGTTGTGCCACGCCAGTCTCTCTGCTCAAAGTCTTTGGCCAACCCTTTTGTTTCAACACTTATTTATTTGTTTTACTGTTTATTTGTTTTTTCTTGGTGCAGGAATATGCTGTAAACTGTTCTCAGGTGACTTTGACGCGACTGTGGGGTCACTGTGATATCTTTGCCTTTGCACATTTCTTTGGTTGGGCTCTAAAAGCTTTACTTATTCGGAATGCATGGCTGTTGTGGATTGCAAGCATAACGTGGGAGGTCACTGAGGTATTAAATTTCAACAAATACATTTTATTTTGCAGTGCGTCTGTTCAGTTAGATCAGGGATGACATAAAAATGTGGTAAGAACAAAAAGTTGCAGATGTTCTCACCACATTCTGATATCTTCAATGTTGTATTACTGTACAGGTCTAAGGAAACATGGAGCCTATTTGTTTTATGTGATTAAAAAAAGGCAAAACTGTTCATGGTGACCTCATCTATGCATGTACCCTCAAATAGACTATCAGTGATAACCAATCAAACTGCATGCTGAACTTTGGCTCATTACATTACACCAAATACATTCCATTATGTTGTGAATCTGTTCAGTAATAGCTCACAGGCAGTGTTGAAAAGTTGTTAAGACATTGAGGTGGCACATAAGAAGCAGCAAAGTGTGTCTTGTTATGTTGTAACCACATTTTGACATGTTCTATGATCTAATGCTGAAAAGACACTGGCCATATGGAGTTAATTTCTTTCATGTGATGAATAAGCAAAGCTTTATGAATTGTAACATCATCCATATGTCTTTTCTCCAGTATATCATTGGTAAAAACCTATCAAAATGTATGTATAGCTTATTGAATAAATTGTGTTGAATGATCCATTTCAGGTGTTCTTTTCTCACTTGTTGCCCAATTTTGCGGAATGTTGGTGGGATGCACTGCTGTTAGATTTCTTGATCTGTAATGGCTTAGGAATCCATTTTGGACTGTATGTGTGTAAGAAGTTGGAGATGCGCAACTACCATTGGGAAAGTATCAAGTATGTAAAGGGTCTTTTGTAAAGTTTGTATCAAGTTACCAGTAACTGTATATTCACACAGATGTGATAAACTCTTTGGTTCTTTAATTTTTTAAAGGGATATTCAGACGACCACTGGAAAATTGCGTCGAGCAGCTATGCAATTTACACCTGCAAGGTTTGTCTATGTTGTTTTCATTAGGCACCACAGACTAGAAAATGTATTTTACTGCTACACAACATTTTCTATCCAAATTTCAATGGCTTGAGGTTTTTTTTTTTTTAATTTAAACATGGAGAATATTCTCTGGTTACTTCACACTTTTGGTTTGTCTCTGGATTTTTTAATTATAAATGTGGTCATCTCATCGGTTTTATTGAAGCTGTAAGTGATGGAAAACGGAAGCTTACTATCCATATGCCGCTGATTGACTTAATGATAATGTGGTTCCTACCTGTACCTTTAGTTATTTCGATAAACTTGATGCAACTTCATTTACCAAGTAGGGGAAAGAACCTGGCTCTTTTAAAATAGTAATTTATTTGAACACAAGTCTTCATACAAAGCAGTTCTAAGAGGTTGAGCTGTGATGTTTTTACATACTGTAGCTGTGATCTTCCTACTAACTTGTTTTGATATGCAGGCAAGGTTTATCCCCTGACAAGTGTCATGTTTTAGTTTGAACACAGTTACCTTCAAAGCAAGGAGGGCAGATCTCCTTTGGAAATACTGAATGTTATTTTGTTTCTTTCAGCTGGACTCATGTTCGCTGGATGGATCCCAAGTGTTCATACATGCGATTCTTTGCCATATATCAGTTGTTGATAATTTCTCAGGTGAGTAAAATACATAAATTCGTTTGAATGTTGATGGGCAAGAAGCAGAAGCAGAACTTTTTTCAGGGCCTTAAAAAGATTAGATTGAACCTTTCTGCAAAATAAACTTTAGAGACGAAGGCCCAAAATGATCTTAAATTTTAATCTTTTAGCTTTTAGCTTTCTGCATTTCTCTTAGATTGTTGATTTTTATTTCAGTTCTTGTACGGGTATGTCATTTTTTTAGATTTTTTTTTGTTTCACAGAGGAACCTCTTGAAAATCACTTTAAGTGACTTAATGCCCCTTCAGTAAGTTTTTGTCATTATTATTAGACAAGTGTTATAATTATCTGTCTGTTTTTTTAGTTCACTCTATTCTGATTCTAGTCTTTTTGTCTTTAGATTGTGGAGCTTAACACATTCTTCCTTAAACACATTCTGTGGGTTCCAACATCACACTGGTTGAATTACTTCCGTCTGTTTATTATCAGTCTCACTGTGGCACCTTCCTTGAGGTAAGTCTGATGGTTGCTCTCTTTGCTATAATTGTTACTGCTCTGTTGCTGTGGCAATTAAATGATTCATAGGCACCTTTAATGTCCTAATATTTATACTTATAGCATTGGATAAGAAAAGATGGAACTGGAATATTATGTATTGTTAATTTTGATATAAAGTTGTTTTTATAGTTTTCCAAATTAGAATTGACTGTGCTCGAAGTAGTTCTCATCGGGAAGTACAGGGCCGTAAGCTCAAATTTGTTAAGTTGTAAAAAAGATTGGCGTAAAATTGTCTTTGGAGGTTTATGGGACATTCAAAGGCTTCTTAATCAGAACTAATTCAGATGCAGCTAGGGAAAAGGGAGAAAATTTTTGTAAGAGTAAACAACAGTGTATCAATAAAAATTTTACGCAACTACAGTTAATCTCAATTTATCAATGATAGACTTGCCAAAGTCCTGTTTCTAGACTTTCAATTTGCTCTATACAGCAGAAAAGGTTCTTATTGGCAGAATTAGTGTTGGTGCGTTTTTCTTGGCCCGCACTTTTACTGGGCAAACACCTTAACAGAATTCATTCTTGTTCTGTTTGTTTCGATAAAAGCGGCTATGGACCTATTGTCCATAGCCATATTGCTCCAACTTAAGTTTGTTATTTTTTGGTGCCCAGTAAACAGAGCTCAGGCAAGAGCAGCATTTGTAGATTGGTTTTGGGCAGAGAGAGAAAGGCATAAATGTTCATTGTAACCTGTATTGCTTTTGTTGATTTATTGCCTTTGGTGCTCAGCATGTGTTTAAAACATTCCTCCCTGTCACTATAGGCAGTGTGGAGGCGCGGTGGCCTCATGGTTAGTGCACTCGACTCTGGATCGAGTGGTCTGGGTTCTAGACCCGGCCGGGACATTGTGTTGCGTTCTTAGGCAAGACACTTTACTCTCACAGTGCCTCTCTTCACCCAAGTGTATAAATGGGTTCTGGCAATTTAATGCTAGGGGGGTAACCCTGCGATGGACTGGCATCTCATCTAGGGGGGAGTAGAAATACTCCTAGTCGCTTCATGCTACAGAAACCTGAGTTAAGCACCGACCTAATGTGCCACTAGGATTGTAAACAGACTTTACTTTACTACTATAGGCAGTACTATGTGTACATTACAGACACTAGAAGCAGGCGACTTGGAACTCAGGCGTGGGTGCTAATGTAAGTTGATCACTTTGGAAAACTTTACTTTTATGACATTAGTTGCTTGATGTCTATTTATTTATTTATTTGGTGATCAAATTTTTTCACCAGAGTCATTACCTGTCTTGAAGCTCTTATTTGTATTAAATATGGACTGGACATGTTCAAGAAAACAGAACTAGTCAGCATAACGTTATGGTTGCTCTTTCAGGTGAGAAAACAAAGCATGAAAGTGAATAAAACATAGTCACAAAGAGAGAATTTCTCCTTACGATATCAATACAATATCAAGCAGACAAGTGATGAGAATAAAGAAAAATATCAATTAGGGGATTATTAGTTGATCCAATACCAAATGCTTAGAACCAACATTATAAGAATTGTGTGGCGGACGGTTAGGAGAATTACTAATGAGATCTGAGACTGAAAGAGTTAAGAACAACTTCATTGTGTTGTTGTGTTGATTGGATTGTAATCTCTCTCTTATAGATGGCAGTCAGTTTGATGGTTTTGTATTTCATGGTAATGACAAAATCAAAGGTTAGTTAACAAGTTGGAGACATTTGATTAGCAGAGGCCTAAATCCCACTCAAGTTGTCATAATGTGTTTTGCAATAAAGTGCACAGGGTTCGTACGCGTCTTGAAAACCCTTGAATTTCAGGAGGCCGATTTCAAGGCCTTGAAAGTACTTGAATTTCGTTTTGGGTCCTTGAAAGTCCTTGATTTTTTATTGAACAACATCGAAAAATATCTGCTTTTGTTTTGCACCATCGGTAAACCCAAAACATAG